CTTGCTGAGAGCAAGAAAAGCCACTTCCAGGAAGATCTATTATTGCACCTGAAAATCTGTTTTTTGCTTGATGTGAAACCAGGAACTTCAACCTTCTAGATTACTTTGTGCCTCAAATTCTGCCCTTCCTACATTCATGTCTTGACCATAATTTGGCCTTGGGCACTCTGAAAGGACAGGTTTTGGAGTTCATCCATTCTTTCAAAGATTCAACTTTGCTCTCCCTTGAAAGCACTTTTCCTCCGGTGTATCTTACATTAAGCCACCACTTCAGCACCCCATGTTTCCTTGGGATCTCGATTTTGGCCTGAGGAAACCCCCTCTTAGAACCCTACCCTTCCTTTAGATGACCTCTGCCACAAAGTAGCTTTTTTGGTTGTTGTCACGCCTGTCAGACATGTCCCTGAGTTGGCTGCTTTTCATGTCCTTAAAATATTTGCTAGTGTCCTAGTTCACATAGTCATGGTTGTCTTACATCTTTATAAGGGCTTAGTCCTACCATCCTTATGCTGCTTTAATGAACCCAAACAAATCTCTCTTCATTGCCTATGTTCAGAGTCTTTAGTGTCTCTACAGCTTTAATCACACGGATTCCTGATCCTGTGGATCCTATCCTCAGAACTCGCAATGGACACCCTGCATCCAAGTCCACCATCACAAATTGGATTAGAAATCTGATTGCTGGAACTTATTCCCTCAATTGACAATCTCCTCCTCATTTATTCTCCCATTCCCACCAGTTCCGTGGGTGTTTTCTAGGCATCCAGCACCAGGCCTCTGTAGCCCAGGTGTGTAAGGCCACTACCTGGTCTTCTGTTCATACTATCTCAAAGATCTACCACGTACATGTCCAATCTTCTGCAGATGCAGCTTTCAAGCGCAAGCTTCCAGTAGTGGCACTCTGAATGTTGGCCTGTTGGCATAGTTTTGTTTAGTTGTTACCTGCCCTTCTCATTCCTTGCTTGAGGATGTCCCTAATCACTTTGCCTGAGTCTTGTACTGCATGATTAAGATGAGTAATTTTCACTTGCTTGTAAACTCAATATCTTCCCATTCCCTTCCAGTTTCTCGGTTACTCTGCATTGCTTGCTGCAGAATTAAGGATTCAGAGTTGGATAGCGTTATATGGGAGGTGCCGAGGGCATGTCCTTAAAATATTTGCTAGTGTCCTATCACCTGAATGTATGAGCCTATAACCCTTGTTATATAAGTACATTGCCTGTGTCCTGTTCTCTACATCAGGAGATGGAATTTACTGGTAAGGTGAAATTCCTTAATTAGTTTCTTCAACCGATAAAAAAAAGCTGCAAAAGCAAATGTGAACTTAACTGCAAACTGATATCAGATGAACTAAAGTGAATACACATGTTGAAATGGATATTACCTGAAACTTCATCCTTTTTTTTTTTTTTTTTCAAAAAAATGTGACTGAACTAATGAGGCCTGTTTGAAAATACCCTAAAGTTTAAACTTCAGTGGAACCTCAACTTACGAGTTTAATTCGTTCCGTGGCCGAGCTCGTAACTCAAAATGCTCGCTCGTTAAATCAATTTTCCCCATAAGAAATAATGGAAACGGCCGTAATCCGTTCCAACCCTCAAAATGGCACCTCATATTTGTCATTTTTCTTGTTATTTCATAAGGAAAAAAGCTTTTTACATAACTAATATTATATAAAAAAACAAAATAGAAAGAAAATATGAAGATATAATAAGGTTGTATACAATTTACTTACCTTGGAGATGATTTTTGTTTTCGCTTAATTCTCATCACTCTCTTCACTTTCACTAGTTCTTGGCCTTTTTGCCACACTTTGCTCACTTCGAGCTGAAGGTCTTTTCTTAAGAAACATGTCTAAGGAAGTCTGTTTCATTCTCCCTTTGAGAATGTTTCTGAAACGACGTAGACACGTGTCATTGAAAAGCTCTGTCGCACGACTCGTTGCAATTTTTTCAGGATGGTTCTTTTCAACAAATCCTGCCACCCTCTCCCACATTGCCAAAATATCCTTGAGGTCTTTTGTACTGATTGTCTCCGGCTCTGTCTCCTCTCCCTCCGAAGTAGCTTCAGTTAATGCTTCTGTGTGCCGTTGCTCTTGTAACTCCTTTAACTCGTCAGTCGTAAGTTCCTCGGAGTGCTCCTCAACGAGTTCCTCGATGTCTCTTTCATCCACCTCCAGACCTATAGTCTTGCCAATGGACACGATCTCTTCCTCCACTGGCTCCTCTTCTTCCTCAATCTCAAACCCTTCAAAATCTCTTTCAGCCACATTTTCAGGCCACAGCTTCTTCCAAGCAGAGGTCAAGGTCCTTTTCGTAACCCCCTGCCAGGCAATATCGATGATTTTGAGGCCTATTGCTATGTTAAAATGCTCCTTCCAAAACTCTCGAAGGGTGAGGTTTGTGTTCTCCGTCACCTCAAAGCAACGGCGAAACAGGTGCTTGGTGTAGAGTTTCTTGAAATTTGATATTACCTGTTGGTCCATTGGCTGGAGGATAGGGGTGGTGTTTGGAGGAAGGTAGAGAACCTTCACAAAATTATACTCGTCGAGTATTTCTTCCTCGATCTGTGGTGGATGTGCAGGAGCATTGTCGAGGACGAGAAGGGCTCGCAGGGGCAGGTTGTTGTTCTTCAAATATTTCTTCACCGAAGGACCAAACACAAGGTTTACCCAGTCGATAAAGAACTGCCTGGTGACCCACACCTTAGTGTTTGCCCTCCACATAACATGGAGTTCTCCTTTATTATCTTGTGCGCTTTAAAGGCTCTGGGGTTCTCCGAATGGTATACGAGTAGCGGCTTTATTTTGCAGTCGCCACTCGCATTGGCACACAGAGCGAGGGTCAACCTATCCTTCATAGGTTTGTGTCCTGGCATCCTCTTCTCCTCTTCGGTGATGTATGTTCTCCTCGGCATCTTCTTCCAGAACAGCCCTGTCTCGTCACAGTTGAAGATTTGCTGGGGGATGTATCCTTCTTCCTCAACGAATTCTGCGAAAGTTTTCACGAACTCCTCTGCTGCCTTTACATCAGCACTTGCTGCCTCACCATGCCTAACAACGGAGTGAATCCCCGTCCTTTTCTTAAAATTATCAAACCAGCCCCGACTGGCTTTAAAGGATTCCTCCTCCGTTGAAGTGCCTGGGGTTTGCTGTTGTAAATCTGAAAAAATACTGCGCGCGCTTCTCGCAGATTATTCCCTCGGTGACGGTATCTCCCGGCAAGTTGTTTTTTTTCCGTCAGCCACACCAACAGCAGATTCTCCATCTTCTCATGCACATCTGTACGGCGCTTTGAAATAATCTTGATACCTTTGGCTGGCTTAATTTTCTTTAGGGACTCCTTCTGCTTTAAGATGGTGCAGATCGTTGACGTTGTACGGTCGTAGTGCTTGGCCAGTTCCTTTACTCGCATGCCTTGCTCATGCTTCTTGATGATTTCAAGCTTTATTTCGAGGGACATCATCCTCCTCTTCTCGGTACTCGCACTACCACTTGCTTTCTTTGGTGCCATGGTTACAACAAAGTTAGAAGTTGGGATTTCAATCACGTGTAGACAGTGAGAGAGAGAGAAAGGCCCGGAGATGGGATGCTGTGACTCGTACCCTCTGAGCTGCGCGCGCCTCGAAAATATACACTTAGAGCTGCGTGCGCCTCGAGCTCGTATCTTAAAATTCTGCTCGCGTGCTGAAGCAAAAAATCGTCCGAGCGACTGCTCGTATCTCGGAAAACTCGCACGTTAGTTCGCTCGTAGGTTGAGGTTCCACTGTATAAGCAACGTTTTTTTTTATTTTATTTTTTTAATAAAGTGAAGAGGGAGATTCACCCTCTCACTTTGTCCTGTTTACCATGATCATTTGAAAGTAAAAGAAAATCCCAAATTTTGGGTTGTCCCCAGAAAAGTAAGAGGGGAAATCTTCCAATGGACACTAGTACTTGTGACCTGGGGGTTCCCAAGAAATTCCCTTCATTTGTAGGGATTTTCTTCTACTTCATTTTATCTATGGGACAGGAAGTGAAAGTAAATCTCCCCGCTATCCAAAATGAAGGAACGTTTTGCCTATAGTTCTACTTTGTTTTTAGTTTTTTTTTTTTTTGTGTAATTGGCACAGGAGTTCTTAGATTGAATGAAAAGTGTCCCTTATCCTGATGGCCGCTGTCCCCTGATACCTCTGCAGCTGTCCCCTGATACCTCTGCAGCTGTCATCTTCTGGTGTTTGTGGGGGATAATATGAGTGGCTACACTTATCACAGGCACTTATAAAAAGTGAATGAAAGACCCGTGTCCTCAATTCAAAGAGCACATTTAATTGAGGGAACGGATAGCACGGCTATGAATTGGTAACACAAAGGTCGGTCATATTCACTTTTGACGAAAAATATATAATTTTTTTTCCCATGAAACTTAAGTTTTTAAGTTGGAAAGACTTCTAACAGACGCACAGATTTCTGCACAGTGCATAATGACAACAATTTTACAAAATCCTGCAAATATAAAGCGCTGTGTAAAATGATGGCGCTATATAAGTACCTATAATAATAGTCCGGCATTGTTTCTCTTGTGTAATTTCATTGCAAAACATATTTTTATTTCCAAGCTTCATTAATGTCTGCTTTAAAATAAAGGCACATAATTTTATTCTGTTTTGGTGGTAGTTTCTTTAATAACGCATAACTTGCACAAAGCAATTTTGACCTAACCGAGTTCAAGGTCGGGTGACAGAGGCAACAGAATTTCACTTGGATCCTTCATGCTCAGTGAGCAGTAATTTTCCTTTTTCTCTTGAGTAAGGTGCACTTCCATTTAGCCTTTCCAAAACCAAAGTTGTGCTAAAGTGAACTAGCTTGTTTGGTTTGTATAGAGTTATTCCCCAGTAATACTTCATTGTTAAATTATGAGAGTATATTTAAAAAAAAATTTTTTTACTGAGAGTGTCATTGTATCAGTAAACAGACGTCTTATGTTTACTATCCTTAAAAATGCTATCCTTTTTTACTCCAGGTAAATTCAGCGTGTTTGGAGGAGGTTTCTCATGAAGAAGCTGTGACGGCTTTGAAAAACACATCCGATTTTGTGTATCTTAAAGTGGCAAAACCTACTACCATGTTCATGAATGACAGTTATGCTCCACCAGATATCACCAACTGTGAGTTTTTGTTACTACACTTTTACGACGCGTTGACCTAACTTACTGCTATTTTTAAAAGAACACCTGCATGATGATCACTTTTTTTTCCCCTTTCCTGTTTGTAATGGTATGGTTTGTTAACCACCTCAATAAAGGGCACTGTTACCTCTTCCTGCCCAGTCCAATTTTTAGCTGTCCGTGCTCACACTTTTTTTTTTTTTTTTTAACTTATTAGTATTTTAGCATAGCATATAAAATACAAAACGAAGCCTATGTTCATACCCCAGCTCGAGGTATTACAATGAGGCACTATACAACCAAAGAAAGACTGAATACTGCTCAGAGAGCCACAAAACTTGCTCATAGTTACCCAGGTTCATGAGAAAGAATGGACAAATAATAAGTACGTCCCATCACATTAGAAAACATGCATGGGGAGCCCCACGTGAGCGGAATAACTGATAGAATCAAAACCTGTCAATAACCAAAACTTCTCTCCAAGGTCCAAAAGACCAATGAGGTTGCAAGTAAAATCTAGAATAGAGAAAAAAATATATATATAGAAAGGGGGAGGGGGGGCTAGCTCACAAAGCAGTCGTGGCAGCCAATCCAGATGTCCCAAAATGTATTAAACTTTTTGGTGCAGCCCCTAGATTGGTATCTATCTTTAGAGAGAGGCACCAGAGAGTTGATTAAAGACTTCCAAAAGGTGGGGGCAGTGGCAGATTTCCACTGCATCACAATTGCCCTCCTTGCATAAAACCGCAAAAGGCTCAGGGTCTTGTCCCAGTTGACCCACAGCCTGGAAAGGCCTGCAAAACTGGAGAGAAGCTCTGGAGCTGCCCAGAGCAACGGACCCAGATCTCTCAGGAACAATATTAGGTCATCAGCATATAATGCAAATTCTTTTTTTTTTTTTTTACAATGGACCCGATACGGATTCCATGTATCTGCTGGGCATTTTGGAGAGCAGTAGCAGGTGCAAATAGGGCAGAGAAGAGAACAGGGGAGTCAACAGGGAACAAGGGTGACAATAGGGAACAAGGGTGACAATTCCCCACCAATTTTCACTTCTGCACTAGGGGAATGATAGAGGACCCATATCCACTCACGGAAAACAGGTCCAAAACCACTACCATATAAGACCAATCAATTGAGTCAAAGGCCTTCTTGGGATCCAGTGCCACCAACATCCTATTACCAGAATCTTCATAAAACTGGTGATGTGAAAGCACTCTATGCAAACTTATGTCAGTGGACTTCCCTGGCATAAAGCCAGTTTGGTCAGTATTTACAGTAGAGGGCAGGACCTTCATCAACCTGGTGGCCAGAACCCTGATGAGTATTTTAAGATCTTAATTTAGTAATGAAATGGGTCTATAGGAAGCGCATAACCTCTTTACCAGGCTTCGGGATTAGACCAATACGAGCTTGATACATAGAAACAAGTAAACACCTTCTTCAAAAGAGATAATACAGACTTTATGCAATTTAGGTGTTATCTCAGGGGCATGCAACTGGTACCACTCCTCAGGAAGGCCATAAGGATCAGGGGTCTTTTGGCCTGGAAAGGAGTAGATATCAACCTCTATTTCAGTAATAGTGATTTTGGAGTCTAACAGGGCTACATCAGACTCCTACAGCGTAGGTTATGTTTAAGAAAAAAAAAAACCACTTTGCTCTCAATGCTGGCTTCTGCCATCTAAGAGCTGCACCAGCCTGACAGTTCTTAAGTACTGTGATTACATTGCAAGGGTGCAGGGTCACACGGTTGATGTACTTGGTGGTGGTGAATTGATGTGGTGAATTAATGTCACCCAGTGGCCCCACCCCCCTTGTAACATCGTGTGCTATGATTGGCCAAAGCATTGCACCTGACCTGTGGTGTGCGCCGTATATACCAACGGTCGATGTTCAACTCGAACATCAAGCCCAACTCTAATAAGGAGGCAGAGGTCTCATTGTGTTCCCAATACATAGCAAATTTACCCTCCATGGCCTCCTCCTGAAGACAGTGAGGATCTAACCTCCAGTAACTACCATGTCCATGGCCCCTAAGTTTAGGATAATCTCTAGAGGAAAATAGTCTTGAGAGGCCAGCTGGTAAGTAGGAGGCCACAGGGACCATGGATATAAGGATCAGTGAAAAAATCCAGATCAGGGAAAAAGTGTTATCATGGGGATGTTTCCAATGCCAGACTTCAGTAAGATCAAGGGAAGTAACCCAATGGGATAATTTGGGATCCGAAGTTCTCTGAGGATTGGAAGTATCCAGGTTGGTATCTAGGATATTATTAAAGCTACAAATAATCTTGAAATTTGTAGGGGGGGGGGGGCAATTTGTATGGATTGGATGTAGGTAAAACAGTTAAGGAATGTGACAATATATTGGAAGAATTACATACATTACCCAATTGCGGGTTGGAGTTATCCGACGACATTTTCAAGTGCGATGAATGAGAATAGTGAGAATGTGGTAGTGCTTGTTTGGGACGTGCAAATGGTAGTTTGCGTTCATCCATGGATTACACAAAATGTTCATCTGGATTTACTGGTGAAGTATCTAAATCCCCCTTGCGTTTTTAGGATTACTGTTACCTGTAAGACCTTGATAGATTGTAGATTGACTAGAGGAAACAGAGTTGTTTAGAGTAACGCAACACTACCCGAGTGGGCGCTTTCCACTGCTTTTTTTAGGTCCCTTCTTTTTAAATAAGATATTGTGACACGGCTGCTGACAGGTATAATTGTAAGCTTTACGCAGGGAAGTTTTACTGTACCTCCTGTCCACCAATCATATCAATTTCTCTGCTGCCTCCTGAAAGTCCTTTTTTGTTGGAACAATTACATCTCAATCTCAAATATTGACTATATGGTATAGACTAGAGGCTTTGAGTGGTTGTGGATGAAAGCTCGATGTATGCAGGATAGTGTTCCCTGCTGTGCCTTTCCCGTAAAGTCCACTTAAAAGATGACCATCACTGTCTTTTTGTATGTGTACATCCAAAAAGATGACACATTCCCTACTGTGAGACATAGTGAATTTTAGGTTATGGCTGCTGTTAATTTTTTTTTTTTTTAAAACATTCCAGCAGCATCTCCTCATATCCTTCCCAGATGAGGAATATATTGTCTGTTCCGATGCTACATAGAAATGTGGCATGTGTACATGACAAGGTCCTCATCTGAGAGGATCAAATGTTCCCACTCCCTAAAGTATAGATTGGCGTAGGATGGGGAACAACATTTCCCCATTGGCATGCCTTGTACCTGGAGGTAGTGGGAACCATCAAAAGAAAAATAGTTATGATGGAAGGATGAAGTCCAGCCCAGTCAATACAAATTTATTCAAAGGCCAATCTTGAATTTGTCATTGGGAAAGTGTCTGTTGTACAGCTGGTACTCCACTATTATAAGGGATCAAAATGTAAAGGGATCAGTATCGATAGTCAGACATGCCCCATCAGAAATTGCTGAATCTTCAATAATTTGAAGGAAGTGAATGGTATCCTTCACATATGAAGGTAACGAAAACACACATGAGGCTGTAAATAGGTGTCTATCATAGGGATTTTCAGTCAGGCGAAGTGAAAACAATGGGGCATCCTGTCGGGTTCACGGGTCTTTATGCATTTTAGGTAGACTATAGAAAGTGGGTGTTCTAGGAAATTTTACTTGAATGGATATCCACAGATCTTTAGAAATTATACCTGTTCCAAGGGCATTATCAACCAGCTCATAAAATTCAGATATTTTTTGATCAAGGTAATAGTAATATCTCTGTACCAGCTGCTGTTTTATAAGATTTCACATCTGTAGAGTCTACAAGCTATTGTACATATCATTGAAAATTGATCAATCCTGATGTACTGACTGCTATCTCATTTCTTGATGCCCTAAAATGCCAGGACAATACTAATACCCCACAAATGACACTTTTTTTTGGAAAAAAAAAGTATTTAGTAAGAGGCATAGTGAGTTCTTTGGTAAATGAAAGATACTTAAATTAAATTTTTTTCTACTAAATTGTGTTAAGTTATTTCTCTCACACGGCATAGGCATACTTGCAATTACACCCCAAAATACATTTTGCTACTCCTGAGTATGGCGATACCATGTGTGTGAGACTTTTGAAAAACCTTGCCATGTAGAGAGGCGGAACATGCAAGGATCACATTCAGTTGTTCTAGGGTCATAAATTACACATCTAATTTCCTGACTACCTGTAAGAATTTTGAAGGCCCTGGAGCACAGGACAGTGGAAACGCCCACACAATTACCCCATTTTGGAAAGTTAACACACCAACATATCTTCTATGAGTCTTTTGAAAATGCCATTTTTTTCCCACAAGTTTTTGGAAAATGTGGAAAGAAATGGAAAAAGATGTCACTTTATAAAATATTTCTAACACACAGCATGGACATAACAAGAATTATACTTCAAAATATGGTATAGCAATACCACATATGAGACTTGTTCACAGCCTAGCTGAACAAAAGGTGAACCAGATTACCTGTGGTTTTAGTAGAGCAGTTTTCCGCAGAGGAGGGCATTGGTCCAGGAAGCAGGAAGAGATGTCAACAACAGCCAAAGAATTCATCCAGGCAGCAGGCAGGAATGTGGTCTATAAAAAGTCTTGGGTCAGTACAGGCAGCAGGCAGGGATATTGGACTAAAAGAACAACCTCTCCAGTGCTTCAAAGGAGTGAATGTTGGGAGACAGACCAGGGATTCAAACGTGCTATTGGCCTCGGAACCATGTATTGGTGTTGCAGCCCTCCTCTGACTTGGGGGATCAACCAAAAACTGGAAAAAGCACACGGGGCGCAAACACCGAGCTTATTATCCATGGTCTGAGGAAGGGGACACACCCCTGAAACACATTTAGCAGGCTGACCTCCCCACCAGTCGGGTACTATGCCATTACGTTGGGCCATCTCAGTGGTTTTACAGGCTTTTACATGCATCTCTTTTTGTGAGTATGTTTTTCATTTTTAAATTTCTAATAAACCTTGGAT